GAGGCCCAAAAGCGGACGAGCCGAGGCCGTTCTAAGAGCCGAGCCGCGGCCCATTTACCGGCTGGCCCGCGGACGCTGCGAAATTCCAGCCGGAAATGGGCCGCGGCTCGGCCGGTCCCAGTGTCTGAGTAGATACAAAAGTCAGCATGTCGAGCTCTATACACTTTTGGTATGCATCAACTTCCAAATTGTCACTTCGACTAAGTTACTTACCTGGCAAGAGACACTTTCCTTGTCAGCCTACTTTTATTATTGCATTGGTTCCCGCAGCTTTTTCTTTTTCTTGTTGTCATTGAAAAATCGTTGTTCAAGCGGTGACCTTTCTAAATAATGCGAAAGAAGGCGATTGTCCAGAGGGGAACTATCGCAGGAATGTGCGAGACAAGTCCAACACAAGCGCGAGGTAGGCGCGAAGGGATTATTGCCTCCCAGAGGCGCGCCTGAAGAAGAAACGGCGGATCTTTAGAGGATCCTGCACGCCCTCCGCAGACGCACTCTACAGGTCACTTTTGAGCCGTAAGCAATGAATTAGATATTATTATATATTCCATTACTTCTCGAAGAATTTGCTACCTCTTTCACTTTCTACATTTTAAAGGTCACTTTCAAGCTGTTTTACTTTATGCACTAAGGCCTCTGACTCTCAGACCACCGGAGGCAAGCGGCCCGCAAACTCGCACTTTCTTGCAGGCGATCAACAGAATTTTGGAGTGTGGTCAAACCTTCAGCAAGCGGTACTTCCTTTGCTGTCGCATTTTCTGCAAGCGGGCAGCAATACAATATTTTCTGCGAGACACTTTCTTCCTCCTCTCGACCTCCGGAACCCCAGAGTGTGACATTAGGCCCCGGACAGACTTCACGCGACCTAATCGTCGCAATCTAATCGCCAAGATTTCCGTTCATTTTCATTTCACATTCAAAAATTTCGGGCAGGAAAAGTATCACAACCGAATGCAAGTTGATCGGCATGGAATGATGTTGTAACAGTTGTCTTGTCGCGATTCAGTCGCGACGATCAAATCGCGTGAAGTCTGCCCGGGGCCTTATGGAGGCCCCGGGCAGGGGCCCGGGGCCTCCATAAGGAGGCTCTTTTCTAGAGATTTTCTCCTCTTTTCTAGAGATTTTTCAGGTTTTGAACTGTACGTCCGATTTTCTGTGACTGCACTGCACTTTACAGTTACAGGTAATTTGACCGCTGTTTGAATCTGAATGGGCCTATTGGAAGGGCTATAATTTTTCTAGGGGTGAGGCATTCGGCTCCAAATCTCCACTAGCAAGGAAAAGCTATGAGCTCAATAAGCAGCCCCTCAACCTTTCAGGCAGGTTGATCTTTTGAGGGGTTGCGCCAGATCCAATTAACTTTCAAAGAAGTTTTTCATTTAGTTTTATATGATTCGCTGCCAAAAACCTCGAAGATTCTACAATAGATGTTTGAACTTAACTCGAGTTGATTCGGCTTCATGGTGATCGGTGGAGTTGAAGCACTCATTGTGGAAAACGTGGTGATTGAAGTTTTGGCACCACTCCTGAATCCAAGTTGTAAGTATGAAGTCTTATTTCTACCATAGACTGATATAGAGTATTCATCGTTGTGAACACAGAGAAGCTGACTTCCGTCACTTTTGTGACCAAGTCATCTGTGAAAAACACGCTTTAGACGTTAGGAAACACTGGAAAATGTAATAGGTAATGGTTTGTAAAACTTGTGTAGGTAACTTGGCGTGCTAATTACGGAAATCATATCCAATTTACACTGCAAGCTTATTGATGACCTTAAAGGCAGTTTCCCGGCAGATTTTGCATTTCCATCTTTTTGCATGTTTTGGGCCTTTTCGACCCGTAGACCTCGAATTTGAGCTTTAAAGGACGGAAAAGACCTTATTCGAGGCGTTTACCCAATTTCCAAAAGGTGGCTCGGACGAGAATTTCAACGGAAAGTTGGAAAGCCCCGGAAAGCATGCACAATGCGAGAGACAGTCGTGGGGTCCCGCGCCGAAAGGTAAGCGAAGTCGTCCGAGCGCGCGCCGATTCAACGGCTGCTAAAAAATTGCAGAAATGAAAAAACCCGAGAAATTAGATTGCAAAACATGTCATCCCCTTCCCTATAAGTGCATCAATGATCCGATATATCTACTTGACCTAATCCTGGATTTGTATCTATCATATCCAAAATACCGCCACTTAGTGCTTTGCTCAAAGATAACATCAACTGATGAAAATATACAGGGTGGTCCATATGAAATGTGACGAAGAAAAATGCTCTCAACTCTTTACCGAACAGCTCAGTTTCCAAAGAGTCAAATATTATATTATATTAGGTCATTCCGAAAGTAATGTTGCTTTTTTCAAATAAACGCCACACTTCAAGGAATCAAGACTTTCAAGAGTTCTTAGGAGCATTCGATGCAGCATTCATCCTTTCTACTGGTTATAATTTCATTGTTTAATATTCATTGTGCTCTTGAAAAATCACCAAAATCTGCGACTTATGCTTTTTGCCATAGTCAATTTCGGCTATTTTTCTAAATTTTTGTACCTACTCTCCGAAGAAGCGCAATTAACAGCTAGGTAGCGCAAACCCTATAGGACACAGAGTAATTTTTTACTTTTCCTTAGCTTGCTTCTTGGAGTTTCTGAAATCAAATTTTCAATGCTATTAAATTCCATATTTGGTCAAATCAAACCTCACAGAACAACAACCGGCAAGCAACTCGGGTGTCATTAGACGCAGCTTTTTCTCCTCTTTCTACCAGTTGTATTTATTTCCGATTCCGTCAAGTTTTCCGGGATAAAATTAATATAATTCAAGGTTTCCAGGGCGCCCCAGGCTGTAACCGGAATTTCCAAATGTTGCTAATCTGGAACGTTGAATGCTCATTTGGTTTGTAAAACTAGTGTCAAACCATAATTCATATTTGTAAGTTTCAAGATCCGAAGATTTATTGGTGTTTGATGCATTTGTGTCTAAGGCGAGCCTGCTAAAATTCGATGCCATCAAAAAATCTATACAAAAATTATGACGAGCTCTGGAAATAGAAAAAAGTTGTGCTGTTTCCTGTAATGTTTGCTCTATCCATCCATTACTCAGACTCCTTGCGAGGGTTGTTATAAAAATTTAGAAAAATGGTGAAACTTGGCCTTCTCAAAAAGCATGGGTCGCACATTTTGATAATTTTTCGAAAGGTTGTTGAGTTTTGTGCAGTGTTTCTATAACCATTAGAACGAGAAAGAAATGCTGCATCAAATGCTACCAGAAGCTCTTACACATCTTTGTTCCATGAGATGTGGTGTACGTTTGAAAATAGCGACATTACTTATGGAACAACCTAATATATCTGAAAGCCAAAAAAATTTACATATGACTTTATCCATCCATTTGGTGTCCTCCGCTTTTAACTTAGACCCAGGTTTTTGATCTCATCTGCAGATTTGTTAGGATGCATACGCTTTTGCTATGTTGCCTTCAACTGATTTGCCTTATTCAAATTTGGAGGAAACAATTTATGCTCCTTTGCAGCGGTTGAAGCATAAAGAAAATTTGGTTTTTCCCTTTTCTTTGAAACTTCCACGAAAGTTATTCTTGTCAAAAGACATCTACTTTTTTGATCAAGCAATTTAGCGGGAAGAAGTTTGTGTTATATGCAAACATATCGTTAGATAAAAAATGACTGAAACAAGGAAAGGGGTTGCAATCAGCAAGCTATTTGAAAACTATTCAGATTTCTTGCCCAATTCTTTCAACCACATCATTTGTAAAGCACTACTGCATCAGAGTTCAGCACAGAGTGATTTATGCGCAAAAAGAATCTTTGTTCAGACCAGCAACTTGCTTTAAGGAGATTCGAGATGAAAGTACATCAGATCTGTTGTCAAGCACGTTATCCTCTAGTCCACAAGTTGCCAGTAGTGGGACTTCCAAGGCCTGTGCTGGTCATGTTCAGCACAAACTCGGATCAAAAGACGCCTCTAACTCCTCACACACAAATGTACAGCAGGTACCGAACACGAGCATGAGTTCCGCCTACCGAACAACCATAGACATAAACTTACATTCATAATGTTATGTGCTCAACGCTCCAGTCTCCCAGCTTGTTATTTCTTTGCTTTTTCATGGGAACGATATTGACGACGTGCGCTTGACGCATGATGAACGCATAGTAAACGTCTGGCAGCATATAAACAGCAATATTTCTGTTTTATTGACAGCAAGGAGAACACAAGCTTTCATTCTAATTCTGAGACTCTTTATAAATCACTGTGCTTCAGCACACACAGGAGCTGATGAACAGTTTCAAGGCAGAATGAACTAAAGCTTCATATCATAAGCGATGTCATTGTATGCAGATGTTCTGATTTCTACGCCATACTGCATTGAAACAAGAGTGAAGCTTGCTCAAATTCTCTGCAGTCAACGGCATATTCTGTGAGCCTATCAATGAGTGCACTTCAACGTGATTCAATTTTGAAACAACGCATTTATCAAATCAATTTTAGCAATGTCGAACCACACAAAGCTTTTTCAAATTTCAACCTTTTCAAGCATATCAAAAACAGCATTCGCAATCCCATGAATGATCACAGATAGTGAATATAACCTTGTTATGAAATGAAAACTTGCTATCGCGAAAGTGTTTCAGTGATCTCTTCCGTACGCAATGATTTAGGCAGGATGTTTTTCAGAACTTTCCGTTAATTGCTTCCTTACTTGATTTACACTCATTTCCTGCTTCTCAATAGTCGAGACACTGTTTATAGTTATGAATTCGAGTTCTATGAAGAGCAACAAGAAGCAACGACTACGTTTAAATTAGAGCGATACTTGTAGGCTCTAGCTCGCATTGCATTCTACCATCATTCTCCGATGCTTGGGCTTGTGCTCATTGTCGAGTCAACAGACAATCTTTGGTTTTATACTTTCCCAAAATAAGAGTGGTATCCTTCCTATACCATCTAATCTTCGGCACAACAAACAACTGCGTATGCATGCGATTTTAGGAAATATGAGCAGCAACTTTACTTCCGTGCCCAGTGAGTACCTCGTCGCAGGAGTCCTCATGACAGCAGTGAGATGGCGTTCTATACTTCGCTTACAAGCTGGACTCGATAACACGTTGTCGCTTGACATTTTCAGCTTGGAGTCGTGGGCGTTTGCATCAATATCACTGTTATTCTAGCCCTTATACGTACACCATCATTCTATAACGCATTCGGCTACATATGTATCTTACATCTGATCTCCAATGCGGGAGAATTGCTGATTTTCTCGCTTTGGAACGGACCGGCAACAATCTGGTACATCCTGACATTGAATCGCGTTTCGGTCATTAGCTGATCGTTGCAGGCAACTCGATGCATCGGACACAGATACTTTTTTTGGCTCGAGAATAGCACAAATTTATTTTATCTTTTGGTTTTGTTCACTATATAGTGATTTGCAAATGGCTGTAAATCGTCTTGTGGCAATAGAATGGCCCTTAATGTATAAGTAAGCGCAATATATGAAGATATCCAATTTTAATTGTGTCTATCAAGCAAAACATTTGGTGGAAGAAGACTCATCTATTTTATTGGTAGTTTCTGTGTACTATCTGTTGCTCATGCTCTAGTATTTAGCACATGTGAGTTTGTACTTCCATTTCGTTTGTCTTTTATTGACCGTCCAATCCTTACCTGAAGATGAATGTTCGCTATGGTTTGACTCAACGATATTTATGTGGAGAGCCCGTTCCACCACCTGTGGTTATGTCGCAATTTATTACACAGTTGTGGCGCACGTCGTAGGCCTTTGTGCTTTGATATTTATCACTGACACGATAACATTCTGCTGCATTTGGAAGAAAGCAAAGGTGAGTGTGTGTGGGTTAGCTAATGTTACGAAGGGATTATTACGCAGAAAGTAAAAGAGGGAGAAAATAATTCCTGCTACAGTGAGTACAACTTTAGTGTTCCCGATTAAATCATGAAGTAGTGTATGTGTGGCGTATTTTTGCGGTTTGCAGGGTTAAAGCATCGTCCGCCAGGTTGAAGTATTTCGAAGGTGTGATAGTATACTAGCGTAGGCGCTCGCGTTAAGAGACGCCCAAGCTGCGCCGCAAAAGGTCCCTTTCGGAGCGAGAAGTACGCTCCGGAAGGAGCAAATCTGGAGATGGTCACATTACCCAGGTGGTCTCCCCTCCCAATCTGCAAGCTTTCCCTCGCCAGCGCTTGTTGCAGCGGTTCTCCGAAACGGAGACTTTTGGGGGTTTCGCGGATTCTCGACTTCAGATTCGAAATCAGGGCCTTGAGAAGGTCTGAGAGTTACTAAAGCATGGAAGTTGGAAATGTGAGTGAATGGTGCCTTTAAGGAGCTAAACTCACCACCCTGTGAGGGGTGCTTTTTTTTGTTTCCACTTGCATAGTGGAGTAAAACCTTCAAATCCTTAATAGTGAAAGTAAAAGGTACAATACCGCTCGAATTTTTCAAAAATAGACGCGAATAACTCACATAACTTATGCGACGGGAAGTCACGCAACCGTCGCATGACTTATGCGACGGTCGCCTAATATATGTACATCACCGTCGCGTGGCCATATCTCGCTTCAGAGCGGACGAATTCTGAATCCGAAGCCACCATTCGATTCAGCTCAGCGCGGAGCATCCTCTGATTTATTGGAAGTGAGGATACGATGTCTTCGTTATTCCGTTTCAGTTTTCTCAAATTCTTCTGCGGAAGTCCTTCCGCGAAAATGTGAAGCAGCGCCTATCCAACACAGAAGACTCCGCTAAGTATTATTCGATAATACTGTTCTTGTAGATTATTGTGCGCAGAAAAATGGGCTCAAACTTTTTCCCAAGCCTAGGTGAGTTCTAAAAAAGTCACGCGTTTTTAAATTCTACTCGCAATAACTTCCTCCGGAATAAGTACATTTTGAATCCGAAAACAGAGCTGTGCTCAGCTCATCAAAGCAAATCTTTTGATTTACAGCATGTCTTTGATATTCGATTTCAGTTTCCTTGAATCTTTCTGCGAACGTCTTTTTGCGAAGGTGTAAGCAGCGAGCACTGTCCCGGGTAAATTTCAGAAAGGATCTTTCGATGTACTTTTTCTGTAGATTATGATGCTCTAAATAGTAGTAATAATAGTATCATTCTTTTCAAAGGAAATAGAAGGGCTGGTATTGTGGGAAAATCTTGTCGTCCCTAATTCTACTCACCATAGCCCCAGAATACGAAGCTCTCCTACTAAGGAGATGTTATTATCGTAATTAGCAGGTCGGATAACCTCTAAGCAACTTTTGCGAAATATTTCATTTTCTTTCGTTGTACGCTCGCCGATGGACTTTGAAAATGTTGATGCTCTTGAATTGTAAGGATACTTCGCTTATAGAGGTTTTTAAAGACGCTCTTTACGAATATCGTGGTCTTCGAGGAATACAGGGTCTTTTGGAGAGATACGGTGAGTTGCCTGTAACTGCATCATGAAACCTAAACTTGCCCGCACTTCTCGCGTATCTGTCAGAAAACTTGCTTGCTTGCTTTTCCAAGTCAAAATTATTAGGAATTGTGCTATCGAATAGTGCATAACTCAGGCTCCAGTTTATAGAAATCGCCGAGTTACGAGCCTACGAAAACACGTCCTCATGAATTTTGCACTCACGGTGGTATTTCGACGATCTTTACATTTTGGGCAAAATTCATGAGGACGTGTTTTCGTAAGCTCTTAACTCGGCGATTTTCATAGACTGGAGCCTGAGTCATGCACCATTCGATAGCACAATAACTAGTGACTTTGACTTAGAAAAGCAAGCAAGCAAGTTTTCTGACAGATACGCGAGAAGTGCGGGCAAGTTCAAGTTTCATGATGCAGTTACAGGCACCTCACATCTCTCCAAAAGACCCTGTGTTCCTCGAAGGCCACGATATTCGTAAAGAGCGTCTTTAAAAACCTCTATAAGCGAAGTTTCCTTACAATTCAAGAGCATCAACATTTTCAAAGTCCATCGGCGAGCGTAGAACGAGAGAAAATGGAATATCTCGGAAAAGTTGCTTAGAGGTTATCCGACTTGCTGATTACGATAATCACATCTGCTTAGTAAGAGAGCTTCGTAATCTGGGGCTATGGCGAGTAGAATTTGGGACGACAAGATTTTTTCCCACAGTACCAGCCCTTTTATTTCCTTTGAAAAGAAATCTGCTGCTACTATTTAGAGCATCATAATCTACAGAAAAAGTACTATCGAAAGATCCTTGCTGGAATTTACCTGGGACAATGCTCACTGCTTACACCTTCGCAAAAAGACGTTCGCAGAAAGATTCAAGGAAACTGAAATCGAATATCAAAGACATGCTCTAAATCAAAAGATTTGCCTTGATGAGCTGAGCACAGCTCTGTTTTCGGATTCAAAATGTACTTATTCCGAAGGAAGTTATTGCGAGTAGAATTTAAAAACGCGTTATTTCTTCAGAATTTATTAACGCTTTTATCTCCCTTGGAAAGAAGCCGAGGCTATTCTTAGCGCAATAATCTACAGAAACAGTATCATCGAATAGTACTTAGTGGATTCTTCTATGTTGGATAGGCGCTGCTTTATCGAAGACATCGTATCCCCCACTTCCAATATATCAGAAAATGCTCCGCTCTGAGCTGAATCGAATGGTGGCTTTGGATTCTTCAGAATTCGTCCGCTCTGAAGCGAGATATGGCCACGCGACGGTGACATACATTAGGCGACCGTCGCGTGACTTACGCGACCGTCGCATGAGTTATGTGATATTCGCGTCTATTTGCCGAAAAATGTGAGCGGTATTGTATCAATACTGGGTTTGCAAGCCCCTACATCGAATCAAAGGTGAATGATAGTGCTCATCAAAAAGTGGCAGTAAGATTGTGAGTTTTTATGAAAATGACAAAAAAGTAAGGGCTTTCCTTAGAGCTGCAGAACAACGCTGAACACCGTAACTTTGAGAATAATGAGGCAAGCAAATTGCTTGATCGCTCAGTTAGGTCATGCATATATAGGTTGGTAGATTCGATGTTCAATATATTCTTGCACTGCTAATGTCATGCATGTAATGTATGATTACCTGCGCATCGATGTCCATTTTCACGCGCAATCGCAAGCAAGCGATTGACTTATGCGTATGCATTGTCTTAGCGCAAGTGTTGTCGCCACCGTAGGCGTAGGGGCATCTGATCAACCGTCGGATTTATTAGATTGTAGTTAAAGCATTCAGAATCTACGCTACACCAATGGAACGAAATCTGAACACGAAAGGCGCATGCTGAGAAAAAATATATTATTTTATGCCCAAGTGAGTTCTGAGTCAAAATGCGATATAGTCAATTCATTTTTATCTACAGTAGCAGAAGCTAAAGCAAAATGAAGTAGCATCTGCAATCGTTTCAAACCCTTAAAGGCAGTGTCCCGGCAGATTCGCGTCCTAGGGGATATTGCTATGGTGGGATTCCTGGTCATCCCACTGACCTCCAGGCGCAGTCCGGCTGGTTGATGTTCCCACTGGGCCGAGAAAATAGCCCCTAAACCGGCGCGCGTAACCCTAATCGGCGCCCGCTCTGACGGCTTCGCTTACCGTTCTGCGCGGGACCTCACCACTGCTCTCCCGCATTGTGTATGCTATCCAAAGCAAAAATTACAGGCAGCAGGGTCTTCGTGCCAGGAACTCCCAACTTTCCACTCTGAAATTCTCGTCCGAGCTGCCTTTTGGAAATTGGATAAACGCCCCGAAAAAGGTCTTTTCACCCATTTTAAAGCTCAGATTCGGGGTCTACAGGTTGGAAAGGCCCAAAACGTGCAAAAAAATGGAAATGCAAAATCTGCCGGGACACTGCCTTTAAGGCCACGTCAATTTACTTTTCCAGGGTTGCCTTCAAAACACAGTCCTACTATTTGCAACTACATCGCAAGTTGTGCTTTCAACCTTTGCCTCAACAAAGCTGCAAATATTTTTGACAACATCATTAAACTGGGAATTGTCTTACATGAGTTATAGGTAAAAAAAAAGTTCAGAAATGCTGTAGAAGCAAATGAGATTCTTTCAGCGTCATACTCGTATTATTTAATCAGCCACTTCGTGGAATTCTATCAAGACCACATTTCCTTCTAAAGAAGCAGTCAAAAAGCAATACGGCTAGATCGCATCCTTCTCATGCTCTGGCGCAGGCGACCCAGCGAATCAAATCAAACATCGAGCAAAGGATAGAAGAAAAGGTTGATGTCTTGTAGTTCCATAGTTGTGCATCAAGAAAGATCATCGTCGGATTACGCCTGAAAGTGTAGATATAGGTTTGCCGGATTTACTCTCATAAAGTATTTGAAAACAATGTATGTCTT